TTGGATTGAGCTTGTCCTCTCATCCTGATTCACCCTTCGAGGGTATGTTACTAGTTCACTTTTGTAGGCACAACTGATAAGTTTTCACATGCTGCTCCAAACCCCAGGCTGACATCTGAGGCAAACAAATTACTTACCTCCCTTCTCCATCCTCTGGGATGGATCCACATTCATTCCCACTCCATACCTTAATCTTGTTGATTCCCAGCACTCATTAGAGAAGCAGGAAGGGCAGTGGGTGTTTGAGAATTCACATGCTTCGTGTTCTCGTGGGAGCTGAGTTAGCTTTCTGAGTGTTCTCAGGCCCAGTTCCATTGCTTATTCCTCAGGGCTCTTGTTCTCCCAGAAGCCTCAGGATGGTCTGTTTATGAGCAAAGTACCCACTAGGATTAGACGTCCAAAATTGCAGCCAGGGCTCCTTAATCTGTTCCCCACACCATTTTACAGGAGACCCTGTTGCCTTCTGAGCCTGGGGCCATGACCATGTGTTAGCACAGGCCCTCCCTTCTACTTTCAGTCCTCCTTGGTCTCTGAGTGTAAATGCTTCTCTCTGGATGAGGACTTGAATAGGATTTTTCCCCAGAATGCCAGAGGGCAACTGTCAAGCTGCTCACCCCTTCCCTTGAAGCTGGGGCCCACGCCTGGCCTTCTATTTGTGCCTCTAGTTTTTTTGGGCAGACCTTTCACTTTGGGCTCTTTGAGTGCTCAGAGTACCTAGTACAGGTTGGCTTTACATTAAGCTCTCAGTGTTTTGTTTTTTCCTATTTCTTTGGGGCCACTGGAGCCTCTGCTTTCTGGTTTTTCTTGTCTTCTTGGTTTAAGGGGCATCTCACGATTGTTTTTATCTGGTTGTTTGGACTGGCCCAGGCCTCCTCCAGATCTGAAGCCAGGCCTGGCAGGGGCTGTATGGGTATGAGGGGAGCACTAAGCAGTTCAGGAGCCCTGAGTCAGCCGAGATTGTTGTGAAGCTTTGAGCTGTCAGGGCAGTATCCTGGACCTCACTCCTGGTTCTGAATACGATTCTTTCTTAAGTGTTTTTACAAGTGTTGTGTTTTATTTATGGAGTGAATTATCCCTTCCATTCAGAGCAGCCCTAACAGGCTATTCCCTCAGCCTCTGGGCTCCTGTCTCCTGAAAGCAGAGCCGTCTGGTTGGTCTCCACCCATGTTGGGAGCCCAGCCACCACCATGCTCACGGGTATTTTTCCTTGTAAAGTTTATAAGCAGTTATTTATATGAATCTTTATTATGTCAACTGGTTTGTACTGCCTATTTTGATTACAAAATAAAATAAAATATTTAACAGACTCCTCAGTTTTCAATATCTTTCCATCACCAGCATACCTTACCTTACCCATTTTGGCTTACTGAAGTCAAAGGCTGGTGTTTACCAAAGTTTCTCATAAGTGACAAACAGAGATCTTTTGCAGGTACAATCTCATGTCTGTATCTGTACCATGTACTTCTGCTCCTCTGTTATTCTGTAGGGGCAAATAAGATCTCTATCCACACCCCCTTCTGTTGGGCCAAGCTCTCCTGAGTCAGAGCAACTGCGTCATTGCAGAGTTTCAGCAGTCCTCCTAGGGAAGAAGTCTTGCTGATTCTGGGTTGTTTATGAGGAAGCAGCTTCCCAGAGCAAGGATATTCACCAGTTTGCCTCAAGGTGACAGTCTTGCTGGGCTGTTACCTTTCTGAACATGAGCTGGGAGAGACAAGGGGCATCATGTCCAACCCCAGATAAATAAGTCTCTAAAGCTGGACCTGAGTCTTGGTGTGGTGGCTGTGGGCTAATGTGTCAGCCTACAAAGTCGTTTGAACTGCACAGTCGGTGGTTCAAGCTCACCAGCTGCTCCTTGGAAACCCTATATAGGGATCGCTATGGGTTGAAATCTCTGGTAGCGTAGTGGTTACGAATCGGGCTGCGAACCTTAAGGTCAGCGGTTCGAAACTACCAGCCGCTCCGCGGGAGAAAGATGAGGCTTTCTACTCCCGTAGAAGATTTACACCCTCGGAAACCCTGTACAGGGTCGCTATGGGTCGGACCCGACTCGATGGCACTTAACAACAACAACAACAACATGGGTTGAAATCAACTCAAAGGCACTTAATAACATAAAGCTGGACTGCTTGCTAGGGCGTGCTTCCTCCGAACCTCTTGAATGGTTGCTGGGAGCAGTCTCTCAGAGGGCCCAACTGGGGGCCCCAGGACCTATTATGGATCTTTTTAAAAATGGCCAGCTGAGGCCAGGCTCTGAGGCCTGAAATTTAACTTCTGCCTCTTTCCTTCCCAGAGCTATCAGCCTTTTGCCTTGGTCTCTATCTGGCGCCTTGAGGGTGTGGCCACCACCCTTCCTTGTCTAAACCTGCCGAAGTAGGAAGGAACTTTGGGGGAAATCGCCCAGCAAGGGCAGTCCCTGCTTTAGTGGGCCTCCCCTTCCCCATGGAGGAGGGGTTCCTGGGGGTGGGGGGCTGCTAAGGATGTGGACCTGGAGAGAGATAACCTAGCCTGGAAACTTTGAATTAAAAATAACCCAAGCCTTCTAAAGCACACCGAGCTGAGCTGTGAGCTCTTCTTCCTCTTGGGCGCTAACCGTGGCGCTGGTGGGTCGTAGGGTGCAACAAATCTGGCCAAGGACTGGGCACAGGACCTTGCCTAACCCTTGCCCCTGCCCTCCTCGGCCTTTCTTACCTTCGGGTCTTACCTCCCCAACCTCACACTGTGCAACCCAAAACAGGCTAGGAACGAGGAGGATGGCTACAAAGGGAGCGGCCTTGCGTGGGTCTGAGGTCTGGGCGCCTGGTTGCGGAAGGGGGAGGGGAGGGGGCCTCAAGCACACGGGCGGTGTCGCGTAGGCCCCGCCTCTGCCGCGCGCTGCCTGCGCCACCCATTGGTCCCGACTGTGGTGACTCGCAGCCAGAGCAGGAAGGAAACCGCTCCCGAGCGCGGCCGCGTCGTCTCCCAGCCAAGCAGCTGCCGCTATCGCTGTCTGTCTGTCTGTCGGTTCTTCAGTCTACCCGCAGCATGAGTGGCCTGCGTGTCTACAGCACATCGGTCACTGGTTCCCGAGAAGTAAGTGCTTATGAAAGCGGGCGCCTGAGGAGCGGGTGGGAGGCCGTGTCCCCGAGCTCCAGTCGGGGGCCCGGGACCCGCCCCCCAGGACGGGGTGGTTGTGTGGTGGCGATGAGGGCCTGGCCTTCAAGGTTTGAAGGTGTGTCCACGGACCTAGCAGAGCCACTTTATTTGGCATCTTGGGTCTGAACTGCCCCTGCCCATCCCCCTTCACCCGGACAGCCATTCACATCCTCATTGCCAGGCTTCCCCACCACATCCTTACCCTGCTTCTCCTCCTGCGTGTCCTGGGGTAGTGGTGACCCTTTACAACACCGCCATCCAGGCCTGCCTTGCTTTCCCGCTTAGCTCCTTAACGTACCTCATTTCCCTCCATTCATCCCTCCCCAAGCCTGGTGGTTCCTCTATCCCGTACCAACCCTCAAGCCTGACTCACCCTCCCAACTGACTAGTGGCCACAACCCTTCCTCAGAATGTGGAGGGCGTTAGGGGACCAAAGCCCTGGTCGTAGACCTTCATGTGGCCCAGGCTTTCCCCATATATCCCTGAGCCTGACCACTGACTGCTCTGACCCTTCATCCCCAGATCAAGTCCCAGCAGAGTGAGGTGACTCGAATCCTGGACGGGAAACGCATCCAGTACCAGCTAGTGGACATCTCCCAGGACAACGCCCTACGGGAAGAGATGCGAACCTTGGCGGGCAACCCCAAGGCCACCCCGCCCCAGATTGTCAACGGGGACCAGTACTGTGGGGTATGGGCGACCAGTACTGTGGGCAGGGGGAGTGTTGTAGAAATGGCTCCAGTCAGGGTCAGACCTGAGATAAAAGCACTAGTGGGCTTCCTGTGGCAGCACTCAAGTGACCACCCTATTTCCTTCTCCTAGGATTATGAGCTGTTTGTGGAGGCTGTCGAGCAAAATACACTGCAGGAGTTTCTGAAGCTGGCCTGAGCCTACCCACTGGTCCACCCCCCAGCCCTCACCCGCCATGAAGGACCTTGTGACCAATTGCCTGTCATTCCTAGCCTCCTGACCTTGGAGCCTCTTCTCCCTCTCTAACTGTAGCCCCCTCTCCTCCAATCAAAGACGACATTCCTTACCCTCTAGTCTTAGGCAGCAGCTCCAGTGCTGGCTATCCCAGCCAGACCTTGAGGCTGCGCCTGCCTGGTACTGGCTGATGCGTACCTCTGTTGGTGTCATCAGCCAGGGTTCTGCCAAAGGCCCCGCAGTCCGTCATAAGAACACCCAGAGACAATTAAATGTTTCATTCCAGTGGTTCTGTGTCTGTGTGATGGTGGCCAGAGCATCCTAGGCAAGCATGGGAGATGCCCCTCTGCTGAGGCTGCATTCCTGGGACAGAGCTGTCCCCATGTCTGTCACCTCTATGTGCTTAGATATGTGTCTGGCACACATAATAAGCCTGTGTGAACCAACCATTCCTGGAATGGTCTGGTTCCCATGTCTGTGATCTGGGTCCCTGATGTTCCAGTGCCTGGTGTAAATGTGCCCCTGCCTGGATGCCAGAAGGCTGCCTGAGTGTGGGTGTGCAGTTACACTGTTGCCAGTGTGGGGGCATGAGGGTAGTGTGGCCAGGGCTTTGTGCCTACTGTTGAAGGGTCCCCACAGGCCTGTGGGTTTGTATTTAGAGGCCGTGCTGCCCCAGCCAAGGCTGAGGATCAGGGAACTGGAAACCCAGCTGGGCCATCCCCTCCCTGCACTGGATCAGCTTAGCCCTCAGGGGCCAAAGAGGAACCTGGAGGACAAAGACCCAGCGGCCAGCCCCCAGCTGGGGCTCAGATTACTGAGGGGCGGTCCATGCTGCCCCTTCCTCTGCCCAGCTGAGCTCCCGCCCTCCCTGATGTCCCACTCAGTGGCTGGGCTGAGAGAGCCTAGCAGATCACCCGATGATGAATGATGGCAGTGTGGGGGCTTTATTCAGGGCCCGGACCAGGCTCTGGACCAAAACCGGGGTGGGCCTTGAAGACGGGTGGTGGGGCCCGATGTGCCCGCAACAGCAGTGTTGCGTTGGGCACTAGGCCTGCGTCCTGCAGCGTGAGCGTGTCGTCATCGTAGATTGTAGGCGGGAAGGTGCTGAAGATCTCGAAGGCAGTGGGGTCCGTGGCCCTAAGGACCAGGTGGGGGCGGGGCTGGTCAGTCTAGATATGGAACCAGCAGTCCCGCTACAGCCGTATCCCCACCTGGTGCCCACCTGAACTTCGCTAGCAGGGCACGCACGTCGCCCACGGTTTCCTTGGGCCACATCATCAGCAGGAATGCCTTCTCACAGTTCTCGGACTTGATGCGCAGCATGCAGAGTGGGGGCGCTGGTGTCTCAGGTGATTCCTGGCTCCTGAGGACCCAGGGCCATCAGCGCTCCTTATTAAAGCCCAAGGCCCCACCCTTACCTCTCAGCTTGCGGCCAAAGCAGGCCCTCACCTCTCACGCTCTGCGGCCAAAGCAGGCGTCTCCACCATGATCTCTTGTATCCGGACTGACAAAGGGCAGCAGTTCTGGAAGGCAGAGAGAGTGGACAGAGCCCTGGACCTAGGCAGAGCACACCTCCTCCAGATCTTAAAATGGGACTCAGTCTTGGTCATGGATGGATGAGGCCAATAGGTCAATGTGTGAGTAGGTGGGAAGTGGTTTTGTGTAAACTGGAACCCAAGGAGAGAAACTGAAGGAGAGGGAGGCCCTGGAAGGTGGCCCCAGAAAGTCTTGAGCTCCCTCAGTCTAGGAGGTAAGTCAGAACCCCACATAGACCATGACCGGGTAGAGTGCTACCCTAGGGGAATGGCATCTGGTATGTGCGGCGAAGCATAAGGAGCCCTTAGAAACAGGGAAGAGGTTGACGGGTATTCCCGACAGCACAGGCAGGGATCCCGAACTCAGGAAAGACTTCCCAGAGGAGGCGATACATTAGAGTAACTGCAGCCAGTCACATGGCTGAGGCTAGGAATCAGGTTGGACAGGAAGTGGTTGATAGGTGGGGAGGGGCTTCGATGTATGGTGGCCTTGAGGGCCAGCCTAAGGAGCTATGCTTTTCCCACCCCGAAATCCATTGGAAGATTTCAGCAGAGACAGAATCTACGTTTCTCAAGATGTACCGTGATGGAGTCACCTTTAAGGGGGATTGGGAGGGCTGACTGGGCAGGAAGGCCAGCGAGGCCGTTGCAGTTGTCTGGGAGACACTCTGAAACCTAGGTGGCACGGTGGGAATGGAGAGAAGGGATGGATCTATTGGGAGAAGTTCTGGGAATCAACAGACCCGACAGGGCTTGGCAGAGTTGGGGTGAAGGAAGCTGAGGACTCTGTGAAAACAGGTTTGGTGCCTTTCACAGCTGGAAACCTGGGTGGACTAACACGATGAGGAGTAGAGGGAGAGGATGATCTCTGAGGCCCCCTGAGTTTGAGGGGCCCTGAGGGACAACTAGGAGGAGATATTCAGGACTGAATGAGATCATAATTTGGTCTGAACCACAAGGGGGAAGCCTGTGCCTTGGGCTCAAACCTCTTTCCATCAAATCTTTCCACTGCTCCCACTCCACACCCCAACCCACTGCTGGGTCCGAGCCCAGAGCTCTCAGCAGCGCAACAGATAACAGGTGCTCCAAGCCTGAGCCTGCAGACAAGCCATGGTGATACACACCCTCAAAAGAGTTGGGGGAGTTGGATCTGTTCTTACCTGTAGGGTGTTGCGGATAGGACCCCGGATGTCAACCACCTCGCCTTGCCGGATCACAACCTTGGGGAGCCTGTTTAGAAACTTCTCAGCAGTCATCCTGGAGCCTATAGGGAAGAGGGCATCAGGACCCTTGGCCAGGGCAGGGACTGACTGTGAGGATGGAAAAAATCACCTGCACAGCCCCCCAGCTACCAGGGTCAGCCCCAGGGCTGAGCTCACCTGAGTTGTCCAAACTGCCTGAGGCCTTGCATAGGCTCTGTTGGCCTACCTCTCGGCCCTCACCTGGGAATGGGTCCAGCCCATTCTCTGGGTAGAACTGATTTCGAAGATCGCTCACCTGGCAAGAAGGAAGGGAGACAGAGGCAGGCCCAGCTCTTCAGCTCTGGGCCCCACTCTCACCCCTGCTTGTCCACACAGAGGTCTCAGACATCTGGGAACAGGACAAAGGGCTAGTCTATGCATCTAATGCAACGCCCATTTTACAGATGAGGAAACTGAGGCCCTAGAAGAGAGGAAAGGAACTGCAGTACCTGTTGCTGTCATCTACCTGGGCCCTGCTCTTCCTAGAAGCACCCCTGATCTATGCCAGCTGAAGCCACAGCACTAATATCCTCCTGGGAGGCCCACCCCCACTCCCCCCCTTCCCCTGCCCTATAGCCAACTGTAAAGGGAGGGCTTAAGGGCATACAGAAAATACCCTCCACTTTGGTCAGACCTACCATCACACATACGAGGGGGATTTCTAAAAGTTAGTGGAAAAGTGGAACTAACAGATAATGGAAATTTTCCAAGAACTTTTTTTTCGAAGGCCCCTTGTATTACCTCACTTGCCACCATAAAGGCCCTCCTCTTAGGCCCTCATTTTAGCACAGATTGCCTCCAACACCCCAAATCATGACTCACAGTATTCTAGCTATGGTGGCACACGCCCCCTCATGTGGAACTAATTCAGTCACCCTCTGGAACATACTGTCTCACGTGCTCCCATAGTGGTATTGCAAGCTCACTCTCCAGCTACATCCTGTCTCTCCTTCAGCCTAATATTGGCCCTCTTCTGTTCTGTATTTGTGACTCACAGGACTGCCTTCCAGCCCAACCAGATGGCTTTAGGGAACCTCTGGGGGAAGCTGGGCCACTTTTGCATTGATTCTTCAGGGCCCCCAGAATGTCAGGGGAATGCCAACGGAGAATAGAGTGGCAGTAGTTCTACTCTGAAAGGAGTCCTGGTGTGGCACTGTAGGTTAATGTGCCAGACTGCAAAGCCCTTTGGACTGTAAGGTCGGTGGTTCAAGCTCACCAGCTGCTCCTCAGAAACCCTATCCAGGGTCACTATGGGTTGGAACTGACTTGACAGCATTTAACAACAGTTCTACTCTGAAGAGCTCTTCTTTCAGGGTGCCAGCAGAGGGTGCTGAGCAGCTTTGGTGGGGTCCCCCTGCAGTAGCAACCACAAGTATGGCAGCCTCGCCACTCCTTGCTAGCCCCACTTCAGGCTTACGTAGGGAGCTGTGGTTTGAGAACGAGCCCATCACCTTAAAGGGGACTCCATCAGGATATAGTCGCTGGAGCTCCGAGGGGAAAAAACCATCCAATATGTCTCGGAGGCAGCGCTGCAGAGGATAGAGGAAGGGTGAGGCCAAGCTGAATATGTGTGGTGTCCCACAACCAGCTTTCTCCCTGGATGGCAGTGGATCACTCTGGACATACTATCCTAGACCCAGAATTTGGATGGGGCAGGGGCTGGGAGGTAGGGGGAGCACCCTCTGCAAGTTTTACATGTAGCGCTAATTATGGTTGGCCTTGGGTGCCCAGTGGAGGGCAGGCTTGGGGTGAGCTGGGCCTCACCATCTCCAACTATTGGTGGTCAGGCAAGAAGACCTGAGAGGCTTGTCTCTTGTTCTTACCTGTGTGGAGGGATCGTAGAAGGGCCGGAAGGGCCCATCAAACATAATGATGCCATTCCGGTAGAGTTTCAGTGGGATAGGTTCCAGGGCTCGGAGACGTGCCCCCCCAGGGACTGGTGTCACCTGGCTTTCGCCCTCTACCACCAGTTCACTGAGGTCCTTCAGGCTGGCTAGCAGCTTATCAAAGTCCACCTCTGGAGGCACCACTGAATCCCCTGGAAAAGAGGAGGGACATCCATGAGCTTTTCCCGAAGATGCCATGGCTGCCCTCCCCACTCTGGGAAGCAGCATCGCCTTGAGTGGCTGACTCCCTGAGGAGTGGAAGGTCAGCTGACATTCTCAGAGTACCTACTATGTGCTTTGGGGTTAAAATCCATGATCACATTCACTCCTCATATCAACCCTATACTGTAGGGCTTAATCATCTCCATTCTTCAAATGAGGAAACTGCCACCAAGTCAAACCCCAAACCCCATTGCCATCGAGTCAATTTCAACTCATAGCAACCATATAGAACAGAGTAGAACCACTCCCAAGAGTTTACATAATAAGGCTGTAAATCTTTACAGAAGCAGACTTCCTTATCTTTCTCCCAAGGAGAGCTGGAGGATTTAAACCACTGACCTTGCTGTTAGCAGCCCAATGCCTAACCCACAGTGCCACCAGGGCTCCCTTAATGACATGCCTAGGGACACACACTAGTAAATGGCAGATGCAGGATTTGGTCCCAGGTTTGTCTGTATCAGGCACTGGGTTGGCAACTGGAAAGTAGAGCTCCAACCCAGGATCACAGCAGTCTGGATTCAAATCCCAGCTCCTCCATTTCTGGCTATGCAACCTTGAGACAGGCTATATCCTGCTCTGCACAGCAGTGTTGATGGTGGGGCATCTACCTCCTGGGATGGCCTGTCAGGCCGCGATGACAATTAGGTAGGTCACTGGAACCACTCCAGCCATGCTAGTTATTGTTACCAACTCTACCTTGCCAATTGTGTGGATCATGACAAGCTATGGACAACATTGAGAAGTATGAGTATTCCAGAACACTTAATTGTACTTCTAAGAAATCTGTACCTA